AATACGTAATTATTTACTTTCTTATAATGTACTATTTTAAATGTGGCCGACGTGAGGCGCACAAGTAACAGATTGTAAATGACTAGAAACAATCTCGAAAATCTCGAATCACTGTGGAAGATCACTGTGATTGGGAACGAACGTAATCGAACCACTAATTTTGAACGCCACCTCTGTTATAAAATGTTAGAGAAAAAAAGTATATCCTTCGCCGGCACCCGCTCCAGCACTTCTGCACACATTCCACTTGTTTAATATAGTTCAATGGATATTTGTTTTCGATTAAAGTCTACGAGCGATCGATCACCTGAAAGACTGCGTCATGTCTCTCGAAAACTGGAAAAAATCTTCCATATAAATATTCGTCAAGTCTGCCAAACTTCTCTTAACGATAGCGTTCACTCGTTCGCCCTCTTGATTCAGTTGTTCCACCTTCGGTGGCTCCGTCGGATCCTTAATCCCGGCCATTGTACTCAATTGCTAAACAAGAAAAGCTGTTGCTTATAAATATAGTTCATAGATTTCAATGGGTGAGAAAGGGCTTCGCAGTATAGCCGTATCGACAGGATACTCTCCCCTTTGATATTGGAAACAGATAAGCTTCTCAGAGAGTCGAAAGACTACGCGCGAACTGACAGCTTACACGAATGCACGTGGGTGACGTGACGTAAGCGTTAGGACGATGTATTTTCAGTGATTTGATTGCTAACATCACATTTATAGACATTATATTTGAAAAAGTACACGAGGAATATAAATTGTATTTATATGCAAATTGATTCCTCTTTATAGTATATTATATAACGAGCATAATCCACAAATAGTTGCGGAAGGATCATAATTGGCATACATACAGCAAACGACCGCGTTTAAAAACGGATATTATTTATTTTCCCTGGTATCGATTAATTTTTCTATGCATACTGTATAGATAATTTCGATCTTCTTCTCTCAAATATATTCATACATAACATAATATAACGACTAGAAATTTTCCTGACACGGAACTGTCAAGTACGAGCACCTCTGCGATCGCGTCTTCTCATACGAACGGGTTCGCTTAAATACGCACACGATATGCGATGCACACGATAGCTGCTGGACGCTCCGTTCTACTTTGCATGACCTGGACCATTTGGGCCAGAATTATTACCGACTCGACCGAACGAACGAAAACGTCACCGTGAACGCCGACAGCGCACGCAGAACAACGTTTCCCCTGTCCTGCTCCGTGCGGTACTGCAACTTTCTAAATTTAGTGGCTGCCCGTGTTTCAAATTATTGTTTTCGTCGATCCGCTCAGTCCGACATCGGGACTACTGATCGAACTCAGGGGCTCGTCGGCTCCTGCGCGTTCGCGGCTTTACCCGTCGACGCGCGCAGTTCACGCGGGTAAAACGAGTCGTGTCAAAGCACGACAAACGCTGGCTATCCACTTGCATCGTATCAAAATTCAGCTTCATCGATACTATCATCGAATGATACCGCGCGATGCGAGTGGAAATCCAGTTAAACGCACGCTGCAAAAATATAATTCTCTTCCACGGTATCTCATGAAACATTACGAAGACGTATCCTGAAGCTTATTGTAGATTTTTATAGATTTATCAGACGCTCGATTCGTAAATCACGATTTGCACTATCGGTTTCGACTTTGGTTGGTTGTCAGCGTTCGCGGCAATGTCACGGAGCACAGCCTCCACGGCTTCCTCCCAATCTTGATCTTTCGTCACTGCCCGGTTCATAGAAGCGGACCACTTCAAACGGGGCATGGATATCACCGTTAACACTTTTCTGAAATCAGTGACGATGCAACAATTCTTAGATCTTTTCAACTCATTTGATGCAACGCAGGGTCGCAGATTTTAGAATTTTTAATTCTTAATTGCCGATTAATGTCCAATTGGATTAAAGACTTATTTATCTGCAATCCTGATTCATCGCTGAAGCATCATTTAATACTTTGAAATGTTGTACGAATCTTTATTATAAAATTTACGGAAATCGTTTAAATCATGCATGAGCATTAATTTGTTTTATTTAACAATTTTGTCCGGTCCTTGGCTTGGAGACATAATGATAAGCTAGCTCGAAGTTAAGAAAGGTTGCCCATGCCTAGTTTAAATGATGAATACCTGAGATCCGAATGAAACGCGGACATATCGCCGCCTGCCTGTTCACCGAGTCTGCGAATCGCCTCTGCCAACGGCCCGCTTAGCCTCTGCAGTCTCCTCCAGGACTGAGCATACTGCCGTCTGACGAGCTCGATTATAGTACTGGTCAGCGCCAAACCGACGAGAATGTAAAGGGTGCAAAGCAGCGTGTACTTCGGCTTCTCTACGTACGAGCGATGATACGAAGCGCAGCTATAATAATGTGCGAACACGCGAATACCTTCGCTAAAGCAGTTGCGCGTGTTCCGTTACTTACTGGGTACTAAATCACCGAATCCTATCGTGGTCATAGTCACGAAACAGAAATAAAATCCGTCGAAGAAGTTCCAATCGTCTTCCCATAACATAAACATACCTGCGCCGCAGGCGAGGTATAAGAAAAGCAAAACGATCGCTGCAAATGCGCCTAGAAAAAATATGTAGAGTGACTGTAGATATTTAAAACCGCTCGAGTCGACCAGAACTTTACCAAGCGATCGTCTTCCGGTTACGTTCGCCGGAACGCAGGAGAACGAGAAGCTAAACGGAATTCTCGATTTCACGGCCAGACCGATTTTAACTACACCGCTGGCGAATAATTTTCCCCAGTCGGCTATTACTATCAACGTCAGAGGTATGCCGATGAAAGCGAACAGGATGCAGAACAGCCTTCCCGAATTAGTCGACGGAACAACGTTCCCATATCCTAAGAAGTAGGAAGCTGTAAATTCGTTTTCAGCTGGGATTCGATCGACTTAATTATTATCCCATTACCGATTGTCGTAAGGACAGTGCTTGCAAAAAAGACAGCTTGGAGCACGCTCCATCTCTCAGTAACAATTGGCGGCAGATCTGTCGTATCTCGATCTAGACGATCGATGGTGTCGGTTAAAGAACTAATTAACAAGCCACCTTGGGCCGCTTCTTGGACAGCCTCTTCGTAAGCTCGTAATTTCATACTGATCTACAAACATTCTTTGCCATTTTTCAACATTATTTTAACTAGTCTCGATTCCGATGCATGCGGGACTCGTAGATATTTAATTTAAGAATATCAGCTCACCAATTTGCTCAAATTCGACACATCGTCGGTATTGTTGGAGACCGAATCGATGAACAAGTATCTCTGAGCGCGCAAATTACCGCGCAACGCTTCCAAACGTGCCCGTTCTGCCGGAAGTTCTATATGTCGGAAGACCTTCGTAAACAATGCGATAAAACTTTTAGATATACACTTTTCCGAATAGATTAACGACAAACTGAAAACAATGTAGTAAACATTGAACAAAGCAAGTTAACGGGAGTCGCGAGTCATACGATTGGACCATTGCTAAAAATAAAGGTACCGATTGGAAATCCAGACTCTCGTTGTTGTTTCTATAAATATTGCACTTCGTGTAAACCCACGTGAATAAATAGTTTCAAATTCGAACACTCGTAAACGCAACGAACATTTAAAGACACGCGAGACGTTAATTATAATTTTGGTATCTGATAATTAATTAACTTACAGTTTCTTTCGTAGTTCAGCATGGCTACACATGACTATTTTTAAAAATATATTTCGAAATTTGACTCACCAAACCACCGATTGCTGTGTACAGCATTAAAGTGACTAAAAGCCCAACGTGACCAGCGATCGTCTTTACTTTCTGCGCGCACGTTCTCTCAATTAATTTTCTCTTTCCCAAATTCTCCTCGACGTTGCCTGAAGCGAACTGCACGGATGAGCTCGATTTTTTATTCGTCATTTTAAACGTTCCTCAAAACGCGTAACTGCCTCCGATACCCGAGGAGAACTGATTGGGTCGGCCTGAACTTGTACAATCGCTCCGGTTATTTCCGTATGGAAGAGCGAAGGAAGCGTGATCTTAAAACTACGACCGGATCTCGATTTCATCTTGCCGTCCCTCAAACGCGATTAAGTTTAATTAGACAACTTTTGCAAAAGTGTTATTTTATAACATTTCATCCCTAGACGAAACTATCAGTCTCTTCTTTTTATACGTTTTTATACATATTTTTATATACCTATATAATTGCATCCTTCCTTTGAATTTTGATAATTACGTCCTATATATTTTAACTCAAACCGACTGTACCTGAAGTCCCTGTAATTTTAATTAAGTCAATTTTTAGTAGTGAAGTGGTTATTATTTTTGCAGTTTATTATTACAAATGTCTTTTCTTTGGTACTTATATACTAAAAAGTACAAATTAAATTATGTGTGCGCAATATGACATTCTCTTATTCGAGCAAATCCTTTGGATGTTGGGGTTGGGGCCCAGGGCTAAAGCCCTTGCTAGCTCTCCCTGAGCATCAAATTTGTCCCTGAACAAATGCATGAAAACACTTGCACAATCAGGAACTTGTGACATGTATACGTATATGTACCACGGTCGCATACAATATATCGTAATTTAAGTATAGTCCAGTGGAGTTGATGTCGACAACGAAGTATGTGTTGTGAACTGGTTGCGAATAACAGCGATTGTTAGGTTCGAAAGAAATCTGTGGTGATCAAAAGGAATAAAGAATCCGGATGAGAATAGCCGCGAAGTTGAACAATTAAATAAGACAAGATTCATGATGTTGGCTGGAAATTGATTCAATAATTGAACTCGATAGACGGTGCTCGTAAGTACGTACGTATGTCAAAAATGGCGTACGTCAGGTTAGAAGATGTTGTCAATAGTAGCTAAATTTCAAAACAAATCAACTGACGCGTTAGAAGAAACTCAAACATCAAGAAATAATGGAAGTGCTTATCGCTATCCTAGTGCCATATAATAATTCGTAAAACATAATTAATCATTAAAATGGAAGGATGTGACATCTGTTACAAATACATAATCAAAATAATAAAATTCTTAAACCGTATTTCATACTAACATCCATTGTTGTTTGACAGTGACTCGTAAAAGTTAATAAAAAGTGACTTATATATTTACATTGATGTCAATGCAGTCTGTAATTAAACAATGAATCGTAGATCATGACTGCCATAAAAGTTCACGGTGGAATTGATATCTTACGGCTGCCTGTTAATCAAGAAGAGCATATTTATCATCCTTGGCATGTTAAATACACTCAATCCCACATACTTCATTCCAAATGTTCCAAAAGTGAAAATGGCTGTGGAGATAAGGACATTGATTCTTGCCAATTCTGCATGTAAGGCACAGGACATCTATCATTTATTGAAACATAATTAGGTGATCCGATATGTCATAAAAGAATCTGAACAGTTTCAGCCGTACTTTAGATTTGCCACACATGCCGGACATGGTGTTCCCAAACAATATATTAACTTTGAAGCATCAGAATGGTGCTACTATACAATTCAATGCGTTGGACTCCTTGAAGACTGTATCGAATGGAAAAATTAACGTGCAGCTTGCATGTGCGGAGGCTTGGAAGGAATCCAGGCAAGTATATTTGGACACCTTTTATTTATATCCTCTAAGAACGTATATATTTATTATTTGAAATAGATCGGAAAGCAGCGAGTACTTAGAAGAGAAAGTGAAACCATTTGATTGGACATTTACTACCAATTATATGGGGACAATATCAAACTTTGAGATTCAAGAAACTACCGAGAGAATCGATGTGGACAAATTAAAGAGAAGAGAAAAAATTTTATTCTATCATGATCTGACGTTGTTTGAAGATGAACTTCACGATAACGGAATCGCAGTATGTTCTGTAAAAATTGTAAGTTAATACGATTTGTTTGACTAGACCAGAACTGCTCAGCATAGGTTCTGGCGGGCAAGGGCAGCCTCGGTTGTAATCTCGCGGGCATTCAGTAGTGGGGGACCGGCCCTCGTAGTTCAGGTAAGATAAGCCTGACGCTCATGAGGAATTATTATAAAATTTTTATGCAAACGGCAGACAATAATTGACTAAAAGACTTGGAGTTCCTTTCGGACCTCATTAACCACTTGAATACATTAAATGTCAGGCTACAAAGCAAAAAGAAAACAATAATCTGAAATTTCAATACGAGAAAAATTTACACAACTTATTAGATTTCTACAAGGTGTTACCGCGAGATCAATATCCGCAATTACATACAACTTCCGCAAAAATTTCATGTATGTTCGGCTCAACTTATTTAACAGACAATTATTTTCTATAATGAAAAAGACGAAATCTGTTATTAGAAATTCATTAAGTAGTTACCACAGTAAATGTTCATTAATAGTTCACTCATGCGAAACGTTCGTTCCAAAATGTAAAACAATTAGTACAACGGAAAAAATCAAAGGACAGCACACATGTATAAATTATATTGTATTTTTACGAATAATATAAATTTTACCCATCTGAAAAACATTTAAAAATAATTTTTACTTCATATGCGCGTCACATATGTAATCTTCTCGTTCGGCGACAACGAAACAATAGTAGTAAGTATGTAAAATAGTAGTAGTAATAAGTGTGCCGAAGTTGCCCGCGAGGGCTTCGATCAGTACCCGCCGAATTGTTTATGCCCGCGGTAACGAGATACCCTGCCCGTACGGGCAAAGGCTGAGCAGCTCTGGATTAGACAATGTACAACTGAATTTAGTGAGATTCATTTTGTTGGTATCAATAGCGCGTTATGCCGAGCAGCTTTTACATTTTATTAAGATACTTCTTAAGAATCGATGGAGTGATGTTCAGAATAAATGACACTCGAATTTACCACGAATTCGGCCAAGACTACTTATTGAGAGAGTTTACATCGAGAGAAGCCAAAGTAGAAGAAATACGTGTAAGTATTTTGATGAGAATTGAATGTAAGCAAAGAGCAAAACTGAACCAACACCCTTTAAAATTGAAAAACTTTTTTATAATCGGACCAAACGATTCGAGTTCTTCGAAACAGTTAGAAATATTGAAAAAACTTCCTTTACATACAATTTAATAAAGTAATCCACTTCACTACTAAAAAAACTCGGATTACTTGGTCCAATTTGAAAAGACATATTCAGTTTTAAAGGATGTTTGTTTAATTTTGCTCTGTATCGTAAGCAAAGATCAATATTAATATTAGTGATACATTTTTTTCAGGCATCACCACTCTGTATAGAACCAAGTGAAATAGCTCCATATTTACCCTTAACTAAATGCCAGTATCATAAATTAATTATTTCAAGTAAAACAGAATCACTCACAAATAACCAGACAGTGAATGAAGTAACAATTTGAAAACTCATATTTGTTCTAAATAAATATTTTTTCAATAACGTATACAATATTACATTGGCTTTTCCTTAAATTAGTTGCGAAGAAATGTATTATATTATCATATCAAATATAGGCACTTCTGCATCTGTAAAGGTTTCAAACGGACCTTTATTATATCTCTTTTGGACGTCAGTTTCAATCCAAGAAAGAACTTTCTTATTGTACTGATGTTCTGTTAAGCCACTAACTTCCTCGGCCATGAAAAGTAACGGAAAATTAGACAAGTCGTGAAACAGAAGCTTTTTCATAGGCCATTTATCCTGGGGAAACCTGGGTAGACATTGACCCTTTGCACAGACATACGTACAACGCTTTATAGGTTTGCCCCGAGTCCCGTTCTTAGTGTCCAATGACCAATTGTGTTCGAAAATCTGTATAATACGAATTATAATTGATACCTCAATCATGTTTCAAATACAGCCTCTTACTCACAAGAGCATCTTCTATCCTTGTACCCACAGGATATTTAAAACCAGGACGTGGTTCAGGGAACTTATCTGGACAAATTTCTATCTTTAATACCTCGACATCAATTTTACCCCGGGACAAATGTTGAAAATACTTCTCATCGATTTTTCTTCTTTCCTCATCGATCTCGGACTTAATACTTTTTCGATAATAAACAGTTATTATTCCTGTCCCATCATCGACTAAACAACGACGTAAAAAGGATTCTTATGTTTTGAATTCTAAATAAGAATCTACTGTAACAAAACTAATCTCGTTCATTATTACCTGTATACTGATAAAAGTTGTCAGTTTCATTTATGTCTAATACAAATCCTGCTATTTCTATTACCCCGATCTTTTCATGAGGCATATTAAGAGGATGAAATTTGATCAGTGAATCCTCCGTGAAAGGCACAAGTCTATTTAATTCCATGATCAAAAATGGTTCGTTGCCTGTAATACGAGAAATAATATTTTATTACTGACGACGCTGTTTCAATTCTTCATTTTTTCGTTGTCTTTCATTGCTTATTCGGTATACACGTACGTCCTAATTTATATTCATCTGTTTCTTCGTCTATTTCTTCCTTTTTCTCTTCCTTACTGTTAACGCATTCTTCACTTGTTGGTAAGTATGACGGAAAATCGTAATTTCCCTCGTATGAAACAAAATCTGGTTTCATTCTATCGGGAAGATCCGTCCAACTTTTGACGCTTTTGCTCATTGTCAAGAATATCTTTGAACAGGGTACGAAATTTCATGGTTTCATCGAAGAGTCATAGAAGAATTGGCGAGACTCGCATGGACCTCAATCAACCTCAATACCTCGACCAACCTCGACTCAAGCTACTCAAGCAGGCGATCCCCACTGTCGCTGTTAGGTCGATTGTCACGTGATCGTGGCTGAGTTACGTAACATGAGAGGAGGATCGAAAGTATAGAATCGGAGGAAAACCAATATGTTCGCCTTCTTTTTGTCTCCGTTAGACGAGGCTGCAAACTCGCGCTGACATACGTACAACGCTTTATAGGTTTGCCCCGAGTCCCGTTCTTAGTGTCCAATGACCAATTGTGTTCGAAAATCTGTATAATACGAATTATAATTGATACCTCAATCATGTTTCAAATACAGCCTCTTACTCACAAGAGCATCTTCTATCCTTGTACCCACAGGATATTTAAAACCAGGACGTGGTTCAGGGAACTTATCTGGACAAATTTCTATCTTTAATACCTCGACATCAATTTTACCCCGGGACAAATGTTGAAAATACTTATTATCGATTTTTCTTCTTTCCTGATCGATCTCGGACTTAATAATTTTTCGATAATAAATAATTATTATTCCTGTCCCATCGTCGACTAAACAATGATGTAATAACTTATACTAACACATCACATATCTTGAATGTTAAATAAAAATCTAATGTGACAAAACTAAGCTTATTCACTATTACCTGTATACTGATAAAATTTATCAGTTTCGTTTATGTCTAATACAAATCCTGCTATTTCAATTACCCCATTCTCGTCATGAGGCATATTAAAAGGAAGAAATTTGATCAATGGAACCTCGACGGATGGTACAAATCTACTTAACTCCACAATCAAAAATGGCTCATTGCCTGTGATAGGAGAAGTAATATTTTATTGACGACGCTGCTTCAATTTTTCATCTTTTCGTTGAGTCTTTTGTTGCTCATTCGGCATATACGTACGTTCTAATTCATATTCATCTATTTCTTCCTCTTTCTCTTCTTTCTTCTGTTCCTTATTATTGAGACATTTTTCATTTGATGGAAAGTTGTAATCTCCCTCGCGTGAAACAAAATCTGTTGTCATTCCATCGGGAAGATCCTTCCGGCTCTTGACGATTTTCTTCATTGTCAAAAATATTTTTAAACACGGTACGAAATTTTATAGTTTTATCAGAAAGCCACGGGAAAATTGGCGGGGCCTCAGGTCTATGGCGTACAGAATAAACGTACGAAAAATATAAAACGGCTGGATATTCAAATAAATACGTGGCCAGTTGATATCAACATTCGTCACCAGGGTACACTGTTAGTCACATTTTGAGCTCGTAACCTTGACATTAGTGCTCAATTTTGAACATACCAAAAGCAGACAAACAGAGCTAAGAAACAGTGGCACATAAGCATTAATCTCCTGATTTATTTATGTCTTTATCTTTTTTTTAAATAAGATATCAATACCTTACGTTTTGAACATTTATATGACATAAATATATGCTTTTGCCCCGAGTCCCGTTCTTAGTGTCCAATGACCAATTGTGTTCGAAAATCTGTATAATACGAATTATAATTGATACCTCAATCATGTTTCAAATACAGCCTCTTACTCACAAGAGCATCTTCTATCCTTGTACCCACAGGATATTTAAAACCAGGACGTGGTTCAGGGAACTTATCTGGACAAATTTCTATCTTTAATACCTCGACATCAATTTTACCCCGGGACAAATGTTGAAAATACTTATTATCGATTTTTCTTCTTTCCTGATCGATCTCGGACTTAATAATTTTTCGATAATAAATAATTATTATTCCTGTCCCATCGTCGACTAAACAATGATGTAATAACTTATACTAACACATCACATATCTTGAATGTTAAATAAAAATCTAATGTGACAAAACTAAGCTTATTCACTATTACCTGTATACTGATAAAATTTATCAGTTTCGTTTATGTCTAATACAAATCCTGCTATTTCAATTACCCCATTCTCGTCATGAGGCATATTAAAAGGAAGAAATTTGATCAATGGAACCTCGACGGATGGTACAAATCTACTTAACTCCACAATCAAAAATGGCTCATTGCCTGTGATAGGAGAAGTAATATTTTATTGACGACGCTGCTTCAATTTTTCATCTTTTCGTTGAGTCTTTTGTTGCTCATTCGGCATATACGTACGTTCTAATTCATATTCATCTATTTCTTCCTCTTTCTCTTCTTTCTTCTGTTCCTTATTATTGAGACATTTTTCATTTGATGGAAAGTTGTAATCTCCCTCGCGTGAAACAAAATCTGTTGTCATTCCATCGGGAAGATCCTTCCGGCTCTTGACGATTTTCTTCATTGTCAAAAATATTTTTAAACACGGTACGAAATTTTATAGTTTTATCAGAAAGCCACGGGAAAATTGGCGGGGCCTCAGGTCTATGGCGTACAGAATAAACGTACGAAAAATATAAAACGGCTGGATATTCAAATAAATACGTGGCCAGTTGATATCAACATTCGTCACCAGGGTACACTGTTAGTCACATTTTGAGCTCGTAACCTTGACATTAGTGCTCAATTTTGAACATACCAAAAGCAGACAAACAGAGCTAAGAAACAGTGGCACATAAGCATTAATCTCCTGATTTATTTATGTCTTTATCTTTTTTTTAAATAAGATATCAATACCTTACGTTTTGAACATTTATATGACATAAATATATGCTGAAAATTTCAATTAAGTCTGTCAACGTCTAAAAAAGCGACAGGTATCGAGATTTAGATTTGACACCAAAAGTCGTAAGAATTGCCATTTTTACCATCTTTACATAATTACAAGTATACAGCATTAATCAATTTCAATGAAATTTTCAACGTTTACTTATCTCATAAATGTTCAAAATCTGTTACTCAAATATTCATTACGAGCTCAAATAAAAAAGTTGAAAAAAGCAATCTTCACTGTGTTTCTTACAATTTCTACCAATTTAAATATTTTAAAAATTTTCTTCATTAATCCAATCCATCTAACTATTAAAAAAACTCAGAACATTTCGTTCGCTCTAAAAAGAGATTAAAGTTCTGAAAAGTGTTGGTTAAATTTTACTCTTCACAAATAATGAGTGTCTCTTTCCATTCATCTTCTTTCGAATTATACGTCTTGGGGACAAGTTACACCGAATAAGAAATGTTTAATAAATCTGGAGCGTCGATAACTGAATGATCGGAGGAACAGCGTTTCCTCTGTTGAAACCGTAATTGCTGTTACCAGTTGCACTGTATCGCAGTAGAGTAGACTAACACGGATCAGGTCCCGTGTGCATTGTTCCTTTACACACCGTCTGACCTTGGGAAGGTCACGCCTGTTACACGCACCTCGGCATTCCTCGAATCCCCCGCGTTCCATTCTTCGCGAAGGCAGCCTCGCATCGATAAGCAATAACGTCTTATTCCCGGTAATAACACGTGCATTTTCGAAATTACACACTGAACACTATCTTACATTGCAAATAATAATTTCAGCTGTTAACTTGTTACTTTTTCCCCAGCCGATCAACGGGAACTCAATGAAACAATAAATATCTTATCCATTCAGTAATCAGTAAATGTTTCGGTCATTCACTCGCAATCTATGAGCAACACCCGGTTCTTTCGTATTCCCGCTTCCGTTAGCGTTACAACCGCGGAATGTTACTTACGTTTCCGTTGACGGCGTTATTAATAAATAATACGCGCAACAACGTACACGGATTTTTTTTTTCTTTCTTCCTGCGGCAACAAAGATTACCGAGAACGGAAGCGAGCTCTCGTGGACTCGTTCAATCTATACAGCTTGCCTAGCTCTCATTAGCGTTGAACCAACATCCGTTTGCGGTGCTCATTATAGCATTTATTACAAATTCAATACCGCACGACTATTAACTCGCCCGATATCACTACTGAATTATTGCGAGGAAGACTACGACCAATTACCAAGACGCATCAAATGATATTCTCTTCTATCGAGCTCTTCATGAATTCCTTCGAAAGAAAGGACTCCGTCGATCTCATCCTTGTCTCACGGGATCAGCGATGTCCTCGAAACGCGTCCATTCTTCCACACGTCTCTTGCTCCTACGATGACCAATACTGTAATATCAGCTCTAACGTAATAAATTGTGTAATGTATTCTTCGAATATTATGTAATATAAGTTATAATATGTTATTATTAACATTAAATCTACCGACAGTTCTTGTACATTAATAAACTATACTAGCATCCGCCATCGTATTTTTGTCCGTATGAACACTAGAACTACCAAACCAATCAAAATGACTGGTTTTGAGTGGAGAAATGCGTATATAAAAAAGATAGTCGATAGTTCTAGTCTTAATTATCTTTAGACTGCGGAGTTTCATTCTCTTTATATAATACAGTCAAATTTATATTATTTATATTTGAGTCCAATTTAGTAGTGGCACTCGTATTTCAATTTTATCCAGGGTTAAAGAAGAATTACAATTTTAATAATACGTCAAAACAGATTTCGTTCCCCTTTTATTTCTGATAGAATTTAAAAACGGTCATTTGACTAGTGCACGGCAGGTTTAATGTTAATTCATTCGATATCAGTATTGAATTATTGCGAGAAAGATTACAGCCAATTACCAATACGCTTACGCGTCCCGCTCAAATGATATTCTTTCTCTCCTATCGGGCTCTTGGTGAATTCCTTTGAAAGAAAGTACTGCATCGATCTCATCGTTGTCCTACGGGATTAGCGATGTCCTCGAAACGCGCCGATTCTTCGAAACGTTTCCTGCTTCTATAATAATTAGACTACGAATTTCTAGACGAAATAAATTATTTATGGTGCCAGTTTAAAGAATGTGTAATACAGATAACAATTTCTTTTATCATTTAAGTGCCATAAGGTCGTAAGGTATATTTATTTGTAAAGCAAACAACGTTATTATGAATAATTATGGAATCGAAAACTAGTAAATGGGTTTTTACTCTTTTGTCAACATTTCTTTAATTTCGTTCGCGATATAAATGCCTAAAAATCAATTTCAGGATTCACCCTAATCATCCACTAAGGGGATGAAGAGTATACTTATAAAATCTTTAGTTCCATGCTTTGGTTACTTGGCTTTTGGTCAGAAACTGTAACATCATTTCAAACGTCGTAATAAAATATTGTATAATTTATTCTACGTATTCTACGTCGTACGAAGAGTCGAACAATCGTCTTACTTGGTTGCTTGACGAAAATTTCGCGAGACGTTCGTACCCATTGCTAGGCATCGCTACCTCGCACGCTACCATGAATGCGTAGGTGTTTCCGGCCGGCTGAAGTACGGGCATCTGCCCGGTCTCTCGCAAGAACGGCAAGAGAGAGAGAGAGAGAGAGAGAGAGGAGGAAGGTACGGTGGAAGAGTGGTGAGACGCGGGGTGGCGGGAGGAGGGAGTGGAGCGAGTAGGCGAGTAAGGGAGCCAGCGAGCAAAGCG